TTGGATTCAGGATTTAGGGAGAGGGGAGCTATGTAGCCGTTATGTTGGGGTTGTATAGGTGAGGCGCAAACTGAATGTTATTTGTTTAAGAGTAATGGTCTATGGGTAGGGAAACTGGTGATTGTGGTACCGTGTTCCGAAAATCACTGCGAAAATCACTGCTACAAAGCCCCTTGTTTGAAATCCAGACGTTCAAGCCCACTACAAGCAATCTTCTGCCACTTCCTAACGCCTAAGACCATTGACCCCCTAAACCCTAAACCCACATGACAGCTCAGGGTTGAGAGCTTGGCATCCTCAGCTTTTGGGTTTGGTCAACCGCCAACGAAACGGTTTAGGGCTTATGGTTATATGGGGACCGACCCGGATATAGATATTTAGTGACATTTAGGGTTGAGGTTTGAGAGGTTATAGGGTGACCCCAACATACATCTTTAGGGTGTAGGGGTTAGGGTTTATAAGGGGACTTCAACATAGACCTTTAGGGTTTAGGGTTTATGGGGGGGGGCCTTTCCTATGCCTCAACCCTCTAACCTTCCGCCCAAGCCTTCAACCCAGACAAACTCTTTCTAAACTTCAACCCCTTGAGTTCTAAGCTCCCTCAAGCCCCCAAAACCCCAACCCCAGCCTTCCGTGCGCCTCGGCCTCCTGACCCCAGAACTGGGGTTATATTGGGGTGATATTATGGTTATATTGGTGTTATTTTATTGTTATACCGGGTTAATGGAAAAGAACATGGAAACTACATTTTATGTGCCTCTTCTGCCGCTCCCGCCCAAGCTGCGACTGCTCAGATGTGAAATTGAAATTTGGTTTGGCTCAAGCTTCCTGCGTAAGGCAGACGTCATGCTTCATTACTGCATAGATGGACATGGCGGTGTAAAACAAGGTCCCGGACTCCAAAGAGAGGTTCTTGTAAAAGGGAATATATCGCATTTGGGATTATGTAGGGCAGCGTAGCTTTTTGAAACTCCCAGGTGAGCAAAATGTCTTGCATCCTTGGCAAACAAACCCTCCACTGCGAGTGAGATTCAAATTCCTGGCCCCCAACAATCATGTTTGCTGGATCTTGTTCATTTGCATGGAAGAGCATGCCACGACTGCTTCAACCCAGCCGCAAGAAGCCTCTAGGGCCTGTAGGCGTCCGCCCTTCTTGAGTGGCCCATACCAAGGCAGGGTACTCATAGCCTACCTTCAGTTGCATTGATATCCCAATTGTAACCTGACTACCAGGGGACTTGCGGATTCTAGTTAGGATCCAGAGGGTTTCTGTGACCTTGCTGAGAGCACCTGCCGCTTCGTGGCTTTGCAGCAACAGAGGTGGCAGTGGATGACACATGGACTTTCATTAGGGCTATCCATGGATTCTGTGAAGAATGCCCATAAGACAGGAGCAAGGTTTCTTGTCGCGGGAGATTGGAGAAGCTTAGAGGAACACCGCGGTGTTTTTTGGAAGGGTACTAGCCGGCAAACCTCTGAGTGTCCTATGGAAGGTTGAGACCAGAGGCTTTAAGTTGAGGGCTAATGTTGGAAATGGCTAGTCAAGTTGCTCGGCCTGCCGGATGTAACAACAGGGTTTCCCTGGTACACATGAATTTCGGACAGCCCTGATGTTGCTGGACAATTCTGGTTGTGGCCGTGAGTGGATCTTCCAAGCTGTATTGCCATTGAAGTCAGTGAACTCCTCGACTGTTCATAGATGAAACCTTACACAAGCTAGAATCCCTCCACCGCCGTCATGTACCCGTGGACGTCCGTGAGAAATTCTAACTTGTAATGGCAGATAGAGCCCAATTGTAGCCACGTCAGTGGACTTGCGCGGTACTTGGGTTCTAAATGCAGGTGCAGCTAGGTTATCACTGCCAATGGACCATCAAACACCTCGCTCATATGACCCCCGCCAGAACCCTAGTTTGCATTTCATATTTCATGCATTTTCCATGTAATTGTCCACTGTTACACATGGATCTCCCAGGAAGGAGCCCTCAAGCCTAAAATCCAAAAGTAAACCCTAAACCTAAACCCTGAACCCCATCAGATTCCGAGCAGACGGAGAGAGGCGTGTTAAACAAACAACCAATCAGAAAGAAGCCAACCCTTGTACAATCCCCTATGACCCCCTAGGTAACCGTCTATATAACAGCTTATAACCCCCTGAAGCGAACTCCAGGTGATGGCAGTGCTTCTAGAGACCAATTTGGGCGACCTTGTTATTGACCTGAAGGTGGCCCGGGTTTGGGGTTTAGGGTTTAGGGTTTCTTGGGATTTAGGGTTGTAAGGATTCCCGTTGAAAGCTTTGAATGCTTTTTTGTAAGATCTTTTGTCGCGCATATTTCGGAGTTAGGCCCCTATCCAGTTGTGGTGAGAGCAGTAATGCTACCCTCGCATAGTATTGAACCCCCAAATAGTAGTTTCCATTTTCTTTTCCACTATTCCCATAAATAACTCCAATATACTATAGCAGTTTCCATTTTCTTGTCCACTATTCCCATAAACAACTCCAATATACTATAGTAGTGTCCATTTTGTTTTCCATTATCCCAATAGACTTGGCATATTTGCCATCATCCCTTGTGGCCACCACTGGTGGGTGGGGACTTGCGCAAGGTTCAGGCTTGTAGAGCACAGAGAAATTGGGTTCCCCCTACATTACATTTTCCCTTTATGATGCCTGTAACTCCTTTTTAGGGACCGGCCCCAGAACCCTGGAAATCTTCAGGAGGCTTATACCTAGATCCTAATCTGCGTTCTCTTGCCTTCAGGTGGACCATGCGCCCAGGGCTTGCCTTAACTTTGTGAAGTCCGTGGCTTACTGGTCCTTAAGGGGATATGCGGTTTAGGGTTTAGGGTTGGGTACCATTTAGGGCAATTTACGGGTTAAATAGATGTTCTCATAGGTTATTCTGCGGGATATAGGTACCAGTATTAAGGGAGTTGTATAGAGATCATTACTTGTTGGGGAACCAAGTCGGTTATTCAGGGGGTTATATAGCGGATTATATAGTGCGATTAGAAGATTTCGGGGTTCAGGTTTAGGGCATAGGGATTACATAGGGATTCTTACAGGTTCCTATGGGTTAGTATGGGAGCGCCTAATATGCATCTCAGAATCTACAAATGCCCATTGAACCTGAATAAGGCGGGGCTAAAAGTCGCCCCATCAGGATGTTCAGGAGTTTGAAGTGTTCCAATTTTCTTTTCCAATGTTCCTACATAACCCCTATATAAGCCGTGGGCAACTGGTGGGGTGTAGTTTTGTGGGGTCACCTTGGAGGTGCGCCTCCTCGGTCTTCCGTACAAGCTTGGAGCCATATAGTAGCCGTAGCAGTGGCCAGAACAGTTACAGTAGTCATAAACCAATAAGACAACAACTTGAGTAATCGCCAAAGTCATAGCCATAAGGAAGACGATTGTGATAACAGTAAGAACCATATCGCTTATACTAATCCTTTCTTATGGCTGTTGCTATTACTCTTGTTATTGTTTGTATTATTGCTTTACTACTGTATATACTTGTTATAGCCCCTGCTAGTCTTAGAATCTACTTTATCTTCACCAGCCTGACGACCAACCATGAGGGGTGAAATTCGAGTGCAAGATCAAATCCATGCATGACCCAAATGATACCTTGAAACAATGGAAACGTGAGAGTAGCAGTGCGGTTGGGATTCTCTAGGGCGTATGGTGCACAAATTTGTCGAGTTTTGTCCCCAGACCTCGCAGCTTCCAACAGGGCCTGTAGTGCTCTGCTTCACTCCTATCAGAAGCCTTACCCCCTCCCTTAAGGACAGAAAATAAGCATTTGAAGAAGATACCCAGGCTGTGCAAGATGAAGTACTACAACAACTGTCTCTTTTTGACGGCCCCGGCGCTCAGACTCAGGGTCTGCGGACAAAGAGAGCTGATGGGACTGCTACACGGTATCAGGAAGAAAGGCTCTGGGTGAGAGTTTGGATTTTTCTCTTCCCCAAGCTCAACTAACATAAACAACCCACATGTTTCAGTAGTCTACGAGGGAGCGTTTTCATGTCAGCTTCGATGTTTGATTTGTGTGAGTGTAGGGCAAAATAAACTTTAAGCCGTAAACCGCAGATCCTAAAACCGAGACCCGAGAGACCTCGGGGCATCTTTGTGATTCAGAGGGAGAAGGGTTCAAGGCCCGACTCCACATCCAGAAAGCTGAATCCTTGTAAATGCCACCTTCCTGTAAGGGATCCTTCCTTAGGGTTAAGGAGGGGTTTCTGACATGGGATTTGAAGTGTTTTGAAAGGAGTGGAGCAGCGCGAAAAGTTTCTGTTCCCATCGAATTCCGCTGGTTCTCATTTTATGACACGCTCAGGTGGAGAAGGACTTCATCACTCGCACCGGTGACCCCACAAACACGGGCCGCGGCTTGGGACTCAGAGTGCTGTACGGCTTAGGATTTAGGGTTAAGGGAGTTCAAGGGTTTCGTTTTCAAGCATTTATTGGGCGGAAGGGTTGGGCTTTGGGTCTTTTACCAAGTCTTAGGCCACGTCTTTTGAAGGAGCATCGATTGTGCTAAGGCCTAAGCCTGTCGTCAAATGGGGCGCCCGGTTCAGCCATAGCATGTCGGTGAGTGAAGAGAAATCGCTGTTCTGCGCATCTTTGGACACTTAGTGGCTCATGCCTCCTGCTGTTGTTGCCGTTTGCGCAACTGATGTCCATCTAACATGTAACTGTACGCTGCAGCATGCTGCAGCTGGCGGGGACAATCTTGTTGTCAAGGCAAGAATCTCAGCTGTTTCGGCCCACGCTGCCCTTGCGTTAGCGATCTGCAGCATCAGTCTGCTCTCGATCTCCACAGCAATGGCCCCCATGAAGGCCTGGGCGTCTTACACCATGCACTCCGACCCCAGATGCTCAACCCTAAACCTGTGAATCTAAACCGCACCCCCCCACTCAGAAACTTTAGTCCCAAGTGCGTGAGTTGCAAGCAGCACAGATGTTTGATGTTGCCTTCGTTTCAGGCAATGAAGGCCATGAAGGTGATGAAGGCAAAGGCAGTCCGCACTTTGCCGAAGAGTGGCATCGCCGCCCAAGTGGCTGAGAACACGGGCTTGAAGAAGTCTGAGGTTACACAGGTGCTGTCCAACTTGGCTGACATCGGCGCAGCAGAGGTAAAGAAGACAGGCAGCTTTTGATCAAAAGATGAACAAAGTTTTGTGTTAAACGTCGGATCGGTCAAAGCTAAACGTGAATTAAACCCTGTTGGCTGACAACCTCAGGCAAGTTCGTCTTTCCCGGCCTCTGCATGATCAAGACCCGCAAGAAGGCGGCAACGAAGGCCGGCGTGCGTGTTATGTTTGGCAAGGAGGTAAAGATCAAGGCGCAGCCTGCCAAGACGATTGTGAAGGCGTACCCGGTGGCGGCGGTCAAGAAACAATTCTAGAGAAGCCACACGGGAAGATGAGCGCTTTGACACAAGATGGGTCGAACGCTTGTGTTCAGAAAGTCCGAGGGACATACACTCCTCGGCTTTAGCTTGAGGCGAGGCCTGCTTTCGTGGTAGTTCATGGAGTAGGCGTTCCTCGACATGGCATAACGTGGCCACAGCCAGTGTATGTATAGCTTTGCTGTATGCTCGGTGTGATTGCCAAGCAGCGTTTCTCATGCGGAAAAGCTGGCGATGGGCGCTTGCCTGTTCTTACAGGACCGTACAGGTTGGCATTCACGGCTCTGAAGGCGCACTGATAAGATAGAGAGCAGTCATTTCAGAAGGTTTCCCAAAGTGTATAAGAATGTTCATAGCCCAAGCTTCACTTGCCTCCTGTAAGGATACTGGGACAGCTGGGGGCAGTCACAGGAAGAAGTGCTGCTAGTGAGTGTTCCTCAACACCCGGACCCTTGTCCCTCCAGGGATGTTAAGCCCAGTAATGGAGGCCGCAGTATGCATAGTACGAAAGCGTGCTGTTTCAGACAGGTATCCCCAAAACATTCTGCTAGCATCCATGAAGATGCTAATATGAACCCCAGCCCTGAACCCCAGACCGTACATCCCGCACCCTAAACCCTAAATCTCAACCCTTTGCGCCTAGACCCTTAACCCCGAACCCCAAATCCTTAAGCCCCAAACTCTAAACCCCATAAGCCCCTCCATAGCCGCAATATAGCCTCTATAATATCTTTATACAACCCTGAAGTGCTTCTATATGAGCCATAATAAAGAACTCCTTGAAGGGGTTATTCAAGGGATCGTATATGGGATTACTTTGCAGGTTCTAATGGGGGATACTAGGACTTGTAGACTAGGGCTCATATAGTATGATACCGCTATGTATAATACTCCTCGAGGCTCCTACGTACTGCCTATATCACCTCCATGATACCCTTATATAACCCCTGTATAACCCCTATAATACCGCTATACAGGCCCTATGCAATCCCCATACAACCCTTGTTTAGCCCTTAGAATACTCATATACTCTCCTGTAATCTCCTTTAATACTCCTATACAACCCCTGCAAAACACATATGAGCTATAGTCTAAACTCCTAGTATCCCCCTCAATAACCCCTATAGTAGTCCCTTGTGTAATCCCTTGAAAAACCCCTTCAAGGAGTTTAGATTACGGCTCGTATCCGTAAGCCTTAAACATCCTTAAACCTCAAACCCTATAAACCATCCCCATATTAGCCCAAACCCCCAAGCCTAGCCGAAGCCGCCAAAGGCGGCTGTTGCGTCCACGCAAAACTGCCTGGCCTGGGCCATCGATACTTCAAGGCCGAAGGGTTTGAGTTTAAGGGTTAGGGTTTGAGGTTTGGGGTTTAGGGCTCAGGGTTTAGGGTAGGCCAAAGGGTTTAGGGTGTAGGGGTTCAAGGTTTAGGGTTTATATTGGGATAATTTAGGGGTTATATAGGTAGCATGGAAAACACAAAGGGATCTACTATTTAGGGTTTAGGGTTTGGGTTCAGGGGTTGAGGGTTCAAGGGTTAGACTTGAGGTGCCAGGGTTGGGGGGTCAAAGGGATCCAAAGCCGATATTATAGGGGAGGTGAATTTTTCTTCACGGAAGTTGGCGGAAGCGGTCGGCATGAAAAGTTCCAGCAAAGCCCAACGCACAATATCTGCAACCTCAAAGCCTTTGACGTGTCCGATGTTGCATAAGCCCTATATAATCCCGATAGAACCCTGATACACTCCCTATCCAATCCCTATGTATCGTCAGGATGAGATCCATCCCGCGCTCAAGCACAACGTCCTGCCGGCTCATTTGGAGTAGGAGGATTCCAAGTTCGAGTACGTAGTGACTGGAATTAGGCTTCTGTGGTTTTGGATGCTTTCGGTGTTTACAGGTGTCAACAACCAAACCCTAAACCCTGGGCCCTGGACCCTACTGATTGTGGCAGAGCCCTTTGGCGGCTATGTTGGTCGTTGGTCAGCCCACATCCGGTTGTTTCACTATTAACAGCTGTGGGCCAAAATGAGAAAGGGTTTACGGTTTAGGGAGACGGGTTTAGGGTTTAGGATCCAGAGTTTAGATAGATGAGAGTACTAAGGGCCCTTCAGTTTGCTTTGGGAGGCTTATTCCCAATCTTAAGGCAGAATGATGTGTGACTGGCTCTTCGAGGTATTTCAGGCGCCTTTCAATACGCAAGCGTAGTACTCCTTCAACAAGGGTTCATCACATTCAGGGGTCTATTTGGGGTGTCATTCTAGTCAGGATCCCGCTATTTTGGGAAAGAAGTAGCCGAATCCGCAAATTTCAGACGCTCCCAGCAGTGCCAGGTGAAGGGGACCGTAGCAATGGCCAACGTCGGCGGCTTACTGCTGGGTTTTTGAAGGTTGAGAGTCCCCCTTAAGTAGATAGCATATGGAATTCTCCAAAACAAAAATAAGATCCCTCTATACCCTAGTATTAAATACTCTCATTATGTTTTAATATACCACATAATGGGAGTATTTACCATTAGGGGGGCCCCTATGCCCATATTCTATCTACTTCAGGGGGACTATAACCTTTGGGGGTGAGTTGGGTTGAAGGGGCCTTTTGAGCTGGTAGAGGAGATGTCAGAGTCATTCCCTAGGGGTTCAGGAGAGGATGCGGTTTAGGTTTCAAGTTTAGGGTTTGGGATTTAGGGTTTAGGGTTCAGGGTTTAGCGTTTCGGGTTTAAATTGCGATTTCGGGTTTAGGGGTGAGTGATTAAGATAGATTTACCTAATTCTGCATTGTGCGTCGGCTACAAAGGGTTTTAGCCCCCAACCCTAACTTGAAATCGTCGAGCTGTGAATTTCAGCCCGTGGTTCATGCCCAAAGGCCCATGGAAAACCGGGGGGAGGCTTCATGTGCCTGTGCGGTTCATGACTTCTGAGGAGAAGCCAAACGAGAACGGCTCGCAGTTCTACGCTGGGTCCCCAGGTGAGTTCTTACTCTAAATACGGTTTGAAGGAGGTTGCAGGGTTTAGGGATGTTTAGGGTAACCCTCAACCCTAAACCCTAAGTTAGTGCGCAAGGTGGAGTGCGCTGCAACAATTGTCATGGCTTGTTGTTGGTCGTAGGTTAGGGCTGGTAGTTACCTGTTTACAAGCCCAATCTTGGCACGATGAACCCCGTCCCACTAGCAGCAAGTCACGATGTGTCTGAAGCTCAATAAAGGAGCTGCTGGCTTGTTTCTTGCATGAAGTGCCATAGATGCAGTGGTGCAATGCGAGTAGCGCAAGGTAATGCTTTTTGGAGAAGGCAGGGCGGTTTTTGAAAGTTGTGGAATTCACCAGATCCGGGTGTTGGACGCAGTGTGTATTGGGGGAGCTTAACATCCAATAAAGGCGTGACACCTTGCATGTGCATCTTTTCTCCTGCTGCCGGCAACACTGTAGCAGTCCAACCTAGTCCCCTTCATGCACCCGCTTCAAGAAGGGTCCTGGATTTGGAAGCATTCCCCCAGATCACGTTGCGGAAAACAGTGGAGCAGCTCGACGAGAAGCACACCATCTTCGGGACGCCTACTTGCACATACGGGCTTATTGGGCTTGTACCTATGTTGAAGAATGCAAGAGGGATTCTGGTTTGAGGGGCTCAAAATTATGCGTTCTTCTTGAAAGATTGGTAGCTTGCCACAGCTTGATGCGTTCCCTAGAAGGGCCAGCTGCCCCCTAGATGGGCTGTACTGGGTTCGATATGTTTTTTGGAGAAGGGCACCCACTCGGCATCATTCTTGATGCGGGTGAGGACCTACTTCATGGCTACTTCTGGATCAATGTTATGGGATTCCTTATCTTCATTATGTAAAAAAGGATCCTCTTTTTGCTTCCTAGGCGACTTAATGTGGGCTAAGAGACTTGAGAACCAGGATAATTTCTTCCTTGCGATGGTGGAATCCTGTTCTGAGGATAGGGATCCTGGATCTTGAGACATCCACGCATACAGCTAGTGGTGTGACATATTTCAAAACCCTAAACCCTAATCCCTCTTGGGACATCCATGCATGCAGCTGGTGGTGTGACGTATTCTATTTCAAGGATCTTGTCAGCAAGCTGTGGAGTTGATGATCTCAAATGTTGTTCAAAAAGGGTTATATAGGGATTATATGGTCAGATAATGGAAAAGAAAATAGAAACCACTATTTAGGGTTTAGGGTTTAGGGCATAGTTTCGTCGGATCTAGGTACACGTTGGGGTAATATTAGGGTAATATAGGGGTATATGGGTATATAGGGATAAGGGAAAAGAAAATGGAAACCAACATGTAGGGTACAAACCCGGAAGCCAACTGTTCTGAAAAAGGAGTCCGCTTACAGGTCTGGGCTTCACGAACGTTGCTGAAGGGGCTCAAGCCTGAAAGACAGGCACCACAAGCCGTGCATCCGTCCAACTTTTCCAATCCTGAACCCGAATTCCCACAAAAGAGCCCACAGAATGCTGACTTTACGTGAGATGAAGCCCTCGACTGCCCAACACCTTGAGTCGTCTCCATGACCACAAACTGGGGCTGGAGAGCAGCGTCCGCTAAGGCGGGTGGCTGAGGGGCCCGGTGCTCATGATGTGGAGTGTTTGTATGTCGTGTGACTGTGTGTCAGGCTTCTTCCTTATGTGATTCAGTTAAACCGGACTTCCTTGAGGGTTGAGGTTTGCTGGTTCCCGGTGTGTTGGAACTTGGAGTTTACAAATGGCATCTACCCCTTGGCGACCCTAAGACTGCAAACAAATCACCCTGACCCAAAATCCCAAGCCCTGAAACCCGAACTGTAAACCCCGAGCCTTAAATCACAGACTCTAAACCCCAAGCCGTATGTCAAAAAGATCCTAGGCTCTAAATGTTAAATCCAGAACCTAAAACTTTAGGCTCTAACTCTGGAACCTTAAACCCTAGACCATACGCCAAAAGAACCCCGAAGCTCTATACCCTAAACCCCGGGCCCCAACCATAAGCACTAACCTTTCATCCCCCAAGCCT